AATGTTAAAAAACATGTGTGGTTCCCCCACAAAGTCAATAACAAACCATGATCCTAGACAAGGGTCTGGTATGGATTTTAGGGGGACACCCCAGGCAAAAAAAGTATAAAAACAAAGACGATGTAGAGTCTCTCCCTTCACAATAGAACCCCCCTTTCACATCAGATGCCCCCTTTACATCAGGAGCTCCCTTCACATCAGAAATAGTCAGTGTACCCATTGCACTCCTTACCGCTAAATCCTTGATGAATGGGTTGGGTGCATCAGTAGTCGACGGATGGCCACCGTCCAGGCAAAGTATAAAGAGTTATACTAATATAGAGGGGTATAACCTGTTTAACCCTTCACATCAGAGTCCCTCCTTAAAAATTTGAACAGACCCCTGACAAAGCCATAAGGCACCCTAAGGTGCCTCTGTATCCTGGTTGAGAAAGGCTGCTGAAAGAAACAGAGAAAACGCTCACCTACTCCAACACCGTCTCTCCCTCTTTGACCAAACCAATAAAGTGTCAATCCATTGTTGTTGCTTTGCTCGCGAGCATGGATGCTTACAGAAACAAAATATATATGGAAGCAGGCAGGGCCGTAACTACAGATCACGGGGCCCCACAGCAAAAATGTGATGGCGGCACCCTGACGACCTCTCCCTTAGCTGTGAGTAACGATGCCAAAATCCCAAAGACCCCTCTTGTGCATCCGAAGTCGTCTCTACACTGTGGCTGAACACTGCATGAAAAGCAGCGGCTGATGGCCTCATCACACTGCTCTCGCCTCCTCTTAGCATGTCCCTTTAAGCACATAAGCACTGCAGCTCAACTGATTGGCTCCTTGTGCTGCTGCTCTTTCTCCGAACTCTGCTGGGCAGAGAGCTTGGAAGAGGCTCATGCCAAGTCAAATTCAGGTACTTAGAGCTTACAATAAAATACATTTACTGATTGATTCTGTTATGCCATTTATATTTGCCTGGAGTTCAAATTTAAGAGCTGCCCCCTTGGTTTTAGAGCACTGACCTGATTTGCCTATGCTATCAGCACTCTCTGTAGCAGGAAGGCCTATCCAAGAAGCAACTCAGATAAACCAGGCCTGCATTCAATCACCACGTTGCGACGCAGCATGAAGCCGGTGCTTCAGCCAACGTTTGTGTGTATGGAGGAGCTCAGCTCAATATAAACCTTTCATCCTGCCGGCCAGTGAGTGCTCGGAGAACGTTCACTGAATTATACGATTATTCTTTTTTGGCTGTTTTCCATCTACATGTAAAATGCATCAGGACTGGTGTGCTGTGAACCCTAATGCAAGCACACGAGAATGTATTTTTAATGCAGCTGGCATTCAGATCAATATAAGCGTACGCACTCCCGATGAATATTACATGTGTTGATACTACCACGGATGCGTGTAAATACAACACAGCCAAAGCACTTCCTATGTTGTATTACTAGTCAATGTTTATTTGCGAAAAATCAAAGGAAAGTGCAGCTTCCCGCCAACTGTATGCGAGATTTACGTTCTTGACAAATGTAGCGGAGGGGATGGCATGCCTGGTTGGCCGTCCTTAATCAATTTGCTTACTACCCTCGGAATGTTTTACAAACTTGGAAATAATTTAATGAACTTTTTTACTTTTTTTTCCCCACTTTGTGGTTAATGAGTTATAGTGATTTAGGTTTGTAGTAAAGCACAATGGTTTCTCCCTGCTGGTATATTTTATAGACTGGGAGAATATATATCAAAGGATTACAGCTATGCAAATCACAGAGAATGGTAAAAAGGAAACACTTTTTTTTTTTGCGGATAATTAAGTCTAATTTATCTTGTTGGTTCTACGTTTTAGTGTTCTTTAATTAAGAGAAGCTGGAATGTTTTGGGAGATGAACCTGTTCCAATCCAGAGCATCATCACCAACGATAACCAGTCAGCCTTAGCACTGCTGATCTTTCTGAAGCCGGTCACAGACTTCACACAGACTTTTGCTCTCCTGTGGACAGTACCAGGACAATGTCCTTTAGCATCCACTGCAAAGGAGTACAAACTGACCCCCTTCCCCCCAACCCCCATGGGCTGTGAACTACCTCTGCAGGTCCAGCACTTTTTTGCACCCCATTTTGTAGGTGTTGGGGAGGATAAAGAATAATACAATACAGCAGGGGTAGGCAGCCTCAGTACTCTAGCTATGATGAAACTACAAATCAGTGGTGGAACTATCACCATAGCAACCCAGACGACCACTATGGGGCACAGGGGGGCCTGGCCAGGACGAGAATCAAGGGGTCTCCCTGATGCCGTGCGGGCCACCTGGGTCGCTATGGGATTGCAGGTTGCTGGCTGTCACTGGTGACTGTGAGGAGGAACGTGCCACTACCCAGATCACTGACAACCTGTTACTTATCTGTGGAGTGGCGCGTTCCTCCTCACATTTGCTACTGAGTCAGTGACAACCAGCAGCTGCGGTGGAGGAGGCCAGGGCCCGACGGCGGCAGCGTAGGCGGGGCCCGGGGGGTGGAGGAGGAGTAGGCCAGGCCTGGTGGAGGTGGAGGCGGGGCCCGCCGGTGACCGAGGAGGAGGCGGGGCCCAGAGGTGGAGAAGGCTGACAGCGGATCGGGGCTAACAGGTTGACAGAGAGTCTATGGTGGGCTCTGCAGGGTCACTCTCGGGTGGGCTATGTGGGATCTCAGGTGGGCTCTGGAAGGGGCGTAACTAGAAATCTGAGGGCCCCATACAAAATTTTGCTATGGGGTCCTTTGATTTCTAGTTCTCTGACAGCTCAGAGTCTGCTGGGGCTGCTGACATCACATCCAGGATGGGGCACCCAACAGCAGTTCCAGGGCTATTGAGTGTCTACACAAAGACGGCTTTAATAGGTAAGCAACCTGCATAAACTATGTTAAATGTGCATATAATCTATGGGAAGTTTGTTGTTAAAAAGGAATAGTCTGGTGACAGGGTCTCTTTAAGGATTTGGATACTAATAAACATGAAGCTTACACAGGGCTCTTACTTCAGAGCAACTTTGCAGCAGGGGAGAATGGGGAAGGTAAAATTAGTGGGTCATTAATGGGTCAGGGGGGGACTTTTCACTTTGCCTTCACGGAGACTCTTTAAGGAAAATCAAGTTGTGCCTTCACGTTTTTTTAAATATCTTCCCAATTGCCTTGAGATTTCATACACTTTAGGCATGATCATATGCAAATTCTGACTTAGAAGCTTGATTGCTGACCTGCCCTTCCCACCTCCACTAGTCCTCCACAAGGGCGCCTTCCACAATGATGGGCCAAGCGGGGAGGTAAAAGGGGTAAGCCAGTCCTTCTGGAATTTTCCAAAATATGTTTCTGCAATTGATTTATGAAATGAGTTAAGTAGATGTAAAAACATTTTACTTTAAGACTTTTATAAGAAAGCCATGCACAAAAATTATTTTGAAATAAGGGACATGGTGCCACACCCAAAATCTTGCACCCCAAACCTTCAAGCCTCTAGCCTATTTTTCCTTCCCATAAAACAAAGCCTATTTGGCGGTAATACTTTACGAACCTGAGGTCTTAAAGCAGGAAAAGCTGCAACCTTAGCTCTCTGTCTGGAGCATAATTCTACAAGTGGCTGCCTCTAGTGTATGACACCCAAGGGAGCCCTTTAAAAGGCTGGCAAAGGTAGTAAACAATGCACTCGAAACAGCGATAGACTAACTTTCTCCCAGTAGACTTGGCAGCTGCAATTAATCGCTCTTCAGGTCTTGCGATATATCAGTTTCAAAGAGGCTCCTGGCACCTCAGTTTTGTCTCTCATTATTATAAAGAAAAGAATCAGCAAAAAACGACTTTCCACGTTAAACCCGAAGGGGAAGACATTCTCAGATGCCTGTGGAAGAAAGACGGAGCCAACGTGCGCCACTTCCATTAGCGAGGTCTGGCATGTCATGGAACCTCCCTGGGGGACTTGTGTGCTAAACATACAGCGGCACCATCTGCTTTTCCTTAGTTTACTTCACAGTGGAATACATCACTTCACCTCAGAGGATTTCAAACATGTTTCAACATAAATAGAACCAGAGCAGATGCTGATTATATATTCTGTTTATTTTTTTGAGCAGTATGTCTTGTACAGGTAAGGCATCATGCCATGATATTCAAACACAGACTTCTGCTTCCTTTCACAAAAGGTCTTGCCAGCCATCTTGCCCTTTCCTGTACTACAGCAGATCTTGCCAAATGATGTAAGCGGGAATCAAATATTTTATTACTTCCCAGCTTTACCTAACACCCGCATATTCTGGAGCGCTTTACAAAGAACTATTCACATTAGGATATGTCGCAGAGGAACTTGCAATCTAATGTTCCTACTGCACTTATACAAGCATTCAATTTGGTCCCAAGCCAGTTCTTTGGCTGTTTTCAGAAATATAGTCCATTGGAAAATTAGAAATTATTTTAAAGAGAAACTGGTGTTTCTTCATTAAAGTACATCTCCGGGGGGGAAAAAACCACGCACTTTTCCCCTTCCCTTTACACATCCTTTAAATTGAGCAGTCTTATGGCCAGTCACACGATGTGTGGTGCCTCCCACCTGTCTTTATATCACTACAACATACGGTTGTGCCATGGGTGGTACTACAGTGAGCATAGTGGTGCAGGAGACAACACTCCACGGTTTTAGAAGATATTTCACCTGGAAGAACACAAGGGAAGAACGGCCAAGTGTCTCAGCCAGAGCAAAGTGGAGGATTTCATGAAGCTTTGGACACATGTAAAATTTACAAGCAAGCACCTAGCAGGTGCCCTTCCACCTTTCTTCTACCAACTGCTACTCACTGGCTTTGGATAGGGGTATGCACAAAGAGTGAGCCCTTCGGTTTTGCACATACACTTAAAAATGGAGGCGGCCTTATGACTGCTCTGGGCAACACCCCCACTCTCCTCTATTTCAAGTTTCATATTGTGATCCTGTCAAATGTCAAATGACGTCACAAATACCACTGAACAAAATTGGAACGGTTCCATACTCACTTGTATCTGTAGTCTCGTACTGACTATCTCTCTGAAGTTCAAAGATCTCCACCTCAACACGTGCGTTGGACCCTCCTTGCGTGTGACTGTTGATATGTTCTCGGGCAAGTGCAAGTGCCAACCTCTCGCCACGCCCGCAGATAGTCTGATCGTCAAGGATTGCAGCTGCAAAAGAAAGAGACCCGTTATGTAGGTATTTAATATAGACTGAGTTAAAGTGTATGCCAACCCCAACAATAAACTTCTCTTATTTGCTCCCTTTTGGTTTATTAAATATATAATTAAAAGCATTGCAATATGAAACTTCAATAAGTGCAAAAAATACCTGTTGATTCTGGCAGAAATCAAGTGATCTTCTTCTGCAAATCTCAAGCATTGTTATCAGCCCTGCACAGTTTACCACTGTAAACTATAGATCACCTTTCCCTTTTGCTATTGAGAAGAGGATTGGGGGAGATGTTCTGCAGTCCTAAGTTACTTTCTGTGCTAGGGTGACAACGGTGCTCCTGTATAGATACAGGGCAATACATTATATTTTTGTTCTTGGATTTAGATACACTGCCAAGTTAAATGGCTCTGGTTTAGACAGACCTGCCCAGCAGGGGCAAACAATTAAAACCTCATTGATGTTCCAACCCTACCCCACTATACAAAAAAGTGTTTTGTTGCTATGTTACTTTCTCCTCACTTCCAGTCTCAGGTGGCACCAATCACAAGAACAGTTAGCAGGGGAAAATCTCTCCAATGGAGAACCAGGTGGCTATAAAACCAACCATCGTTTCTAACCTTACCTACTCTATCTAAAACAAAACAAAAAACTTCTGGGTCAACTCCTACTTTAAAGTAAACTTGTTACATACCAGGACAATTCAAACTGAACATATGATTTATGAAAAACGTTTGTCAAAGCATTCAACAGATCCAGAGATAGAGTCAGTCAAAGTTATATACAGAGTTTTTACAAATAAATTACCAGTTTTTCCCACTTCTTCCACTTTATGTACCAACTGCTCAGACGTTTACTGGTCTGGCTGGTAGGGATGGGCAAAGCTGATGTTATAATTCCCTGAAATTTTGGTTAAAAAAATGAAAATGTTGGTGACATTTTTACCATTTTGGTAAATTGCCTTAGCATCAGTGGTGGAGGAAGAACTAAGATGGTTTTTGTTTTCTGCAGTGGCTCCTGAGATCTACAATGTCACGGTCTGCGACCGGGGCACACAAAATGACAAAAAGTAACGTGCAAAAAATGGTGTCTGTGCGTTAACAGGTACGCACTAGAGGCGCAGGTTCTAAGAAGGGCCAGGTGTTCGACAGAGCCTCTAATGGTGAGGATGATTGGCTGCTGGACACCTTCCAGGTTGCGGCCCTCTAGCATGCCCACACAGACATAAAGATTAGTGGCAGCACCGAGGTGCTGGATGCATCAGCAGACAGGGTTGAAGCATATACACAGCCACACGAGTAGGCACAGGTGCAAGGACTCACTTGAAGAAGCTGATGATCAATCCAATGCAGGACGTACAGGATCTCGCTGTGAGGAAGAGGGAATCCAGACTCACAGGAGACAAGGTAGGTGGTGGGCAACCGCAGGGATTGCAGAGGCAAGAAATAAACAGGAAGTCCGACTGGGTGAAAAGACACGGTGCTCGAACGGCACGGAACAAGTGAGCTGGACTTTTAATGGAGAGGTTCAGAGTGGATTGGCAGGAAGCCAAGCAGCTCAGACAGGAGGTAAAACCCGGCGACGGATCCTCACACAGGGAAGTGTGACATACAACAGCTTCATTTACCTATCCTGGTCCGGTTGTTGTCCAAACATTTGGCCATTCAGGAGCCTCAATACAAATATGCTCAATGAAATAAAGTTAACTACCCTAAATACATGCAAAGAATAAACAACAAAAAAGAATCTTGTTTTTTTCAAGCAAATTTTTTCCAGAGCAGCTCAGTGGGTAACATTTTCCACATCAAAATCTTAGCAATGGCAAAATCAGAAATTTCATTGTAAATCTGATTTCACTGAAATCACTTTGCTAATTCCTACTGAACGAGAAGATACAATGTATTTGGATTATGAATATTTATCCTGCCCTAGTGAAGCACTGAATGGTTTATGCCAGTGATGTGGGCTGGGAAAGAGGATATATATTTGGAGAGAGCTTCTGGAAGGGTCCTTGCCTTGCAGGCTTTGCCCAGTAAGGACATGTGTTGAGCAGGGTCAATGCTTTGCCTCTTAGGCATGGCCTGGAGAGGTTGTTAGTCCATAGGTCCAGTCCCTTCATCCCAGTGCTGCTGCCTGGAGAGGGTGTAGCTCCAGAGAGGTCCATCCTCTGCTATGGGGATGAAGCTGAAGCTAAAGAAGAGTTCTGTTCAGATAGTTGACGGTCTGGGCTTAAAGGTCCACAACTGAGAGAGGTTTGTAGAGTCCTAACTTGGTCTGAGGCAGACCCATGTTGGCCCACAGAGTCCATATTAGCTTGTGGCACGGGTATACAGAATGCTACCTTAGCCTGTGGCAGAGGTTAAAAGATACTAGAAGACAGTACTGAGCAGAGGGAGTTTTTGCCGTTGTTTTTGGCTATCCTGTCCTGCTATCCTTCTCTCCCTAGGCAATTGACCAAATAGATTTTGCAAGCGTGGTCATATACTCTGAAGCTGTCCATCATAAAGATGGACAAACAATGCAATGCGGACGAAGGAGAGTATATTGCAATATGTGTAGGCACTTTTAGGTGACATGCGTTGGTTTGGCACATTTAAAGTGTCAAGATCATTGGGTTTTGAAAGATCAACTTGGTGTCGTGGCCTTCCCTGTATAGCAGGTACGCAGGGCCGGATTTACTCTCTCTGCCGCCCCAAGGCCAGGTTCCACAATACGCACCCAGGGCGGCGGGGTTAGTTTCAATTTTTTTTTTTTTTTACTGAACGCCCCGAGGCCGGGCCTTGTGGGAGATCCGGGCCTGCAAGTACAGCAATATTTAAAAAGCCAGAGAGATGAGCTCATCAGTCTTCTGCATCTGCTTTTCCTGTCCATTCACAGGCTGGGGGAAGGACAAAACCTTTAGGCCCCATTCACACCAAATCCGTTTGCGATCCATTGCAATCCGTTTTTTTAACAGATGCCAACGGAAGGTAACCAAAAAGTTGAATGTTTGTGAATGGGACCAGTTCACACCACTCTGTTCCATTGCATTGCGTTACGTTGGCCTGAAAAAAAGGTAGAACATGCACACGTGCACACCTTTTTTTCAGCGTAACATAATGCAACGCAGCGGTGTGAACTAGCCCCATTCACACCCATTCATTCTTCGGTGCCCTTGCGTTAGTATTGATTGAAAAACGGATTGCATCGCAATGGATCGGAACGTACAATCACAAGCCAATGGACCCTCAGTTGACTTACAACAACCTTCCAAATTTGGTGTGAACGAGCCTTTAAATGTAACTTAACTACATCAGAGAAAAATCAGGTCTCCTGCCCTGCCAGAGAGTTTTGTGCTTTGTAGCAGAGCTGTGTAAATCTCAGAAGGAACCAGAAGGAGAGAAATACAAATCTTTTGGCAGATAAAAAGGCTCTCACATATGTATTTTATCTGTGTACTTAGCTATTTGCCTTGAGTTCAGCTTTGAAGTGAACACAGTTACGGCGAGAATAGACAACACATTTGCATATTACTGCTCTCCTTCCAAAAATGAGACAAAACTGTTATTAGGTTATATTTAGAGATGTAAACCTTGTCGCAATCAGACTTTTGAAACTATTTTTGTTTGGATTTAATATATTCATTCATTTGGCTTTTCTGCCACTGAATGAGTAAGTCGTAAGAGACAGATACTCTGAATCCCTAAGCTCTTACTTTACGTAAGATGAGCGCATCCCTTTCTGTCCTTTGCAGACTAGACTCAGGACTTTCCTTATTCAGGATTTATTACATTTCTTTCTTCTGGATTTTTTGATATGTTAATTCTCACAAATTGTGGAGTATTAAATGTGTGTCTTTTTATTACAGCTTTTATGAGCCGAGCAGAAGAACACAAAACATCTGAGAGCCGCCCCCACCCTTGTAATAACCTTTTCTCGCAAGCTCTTCCGCCGGCTGTAACAACACAATTAGAGGAACATTGGCCCGGCACCTTTCTCTCCCTCTGGAGAAATTCACAAGAGAGGCAGCTGGCAATCGTGAGTGCAGTTTCCATTGATATACAGGTAGAGTGTTACAGAGCAGAGGTGCTCAACGTTTTTCATGTTGTGGCCCCAAGTGTCAGAGTGCCTTTGACAATTTGCTTCTGTAAATGGTACCTCAAGAAATATGTTTCTACGTAGAACTGTAGATAGTGTTTGCCATTAGTTTGGATCCATGGCTTTCCAGATTAGGGCAGTAGGTTTGGGTTTGAAAGAGTTGAGTGCAAACTGAAGATCATCCATGGTCGACTTTGAACTAAGCCAGCAAAGACAAGTACACAGAGTGCTGGCATAAAGCAGTTGAGGTCAGAGGTGCCTGGTAAGGAAACCTGTGACAAGTAAACTATGAATCAAGGTTTGTACAAAGAGAGACTGTCAAAGTATGGTTCACCAGATGAAGTGTATTCATCAAATATTCCGATGAGCTCTTTTCATCAGGGCTTATTGATCCTAGACTGAAATGGAAGATCTGGGCAACAGATTTTATTGGAATTCCTGGGATTAAAACTTCACAACAGCAAAGGTTCTGCTCTGGTAACTGGTTTATCAAGGGCCCCTCGAAACCCTCAAAATGTATTTACAATTTTTACACAATGACTGCAACAAGTAAATGTTATTTTCTCTGTCAACCATACTCTGGCACTTTTTTACAAACCTTGCGATAATATCCTGAGAGCCATGTTGAGGTCCACTATATGAAATAGGTTGACCACCACTGCAATGGGTCTTTTATACTGAGCAAGAACAACACATGCACTGCAAATGTACCACCTAGATGTATTGCAATGACTTAGTAAACCTAAGCACTCAGTGAAGACTCAACTGTGATTCGTGCTGTGCCACGTTGAAATGGATACAGATTGCACACCCTCTGGGCAATGATGCTTCAGTGCCTGTTCATCTGGTCTATCTCTGTGAGCAAGCATTTAACATGGGCTTGCCAGTGCTACATGTGCCTCTGACTCTAGCACCTGTGTTT